CGATTAGGCCTTCTTTTCCGTCTTCTTCGGCAACAGGACGGCTTGGATGTTCGGCAAGACTCCACCTTGCGCGATCGTCACTCCCGAAAGGAGCTTGTTGAGCTCCTCGTCGTTGCGGATCGCCAGTTGCAAATGGCGAGGGATTATTCTCGTTTTCTTGTTGTCTCTGGCGGCGTTTCCCGCGAGCTCGAGCACTTCGGCGGCCAAGTACTCCATCACTGCCGCCAGATAGACGGGAGCGCCGGCTCCGACGCGCTCAGCGTAATTTCCCTTCCTCAAAAGCCGATGTATCCTTCCGACCGGAAATTGAAGACCGGCTCGGTTGGAGCGGGACTTGGCCTTTCCCTTCACCTTTCCGCCCTTCCCTCTGCCGGACATGCTTTCCTCGTATGTATTTCGTCGCTCGACAATGACAATGAAAATGACAACGGCTAAACGTCGGCCGTCACTGCTGCTGCGTGTATGAAACCGAAATTTTTTTTTTTTTTGTCCTTGGCTGTGGGGGAAAAATCTTCATAAGACACCCCACACTTGGGCTGTGTGGGGTAGTGTGGGATTCTTACCCACTAAAAAACCCCCGTGTATCCGTGTTCCGGTCACTCGGACCTCCCCGTCGGCGTCTGTATGCGTTGATTGTTGGGTACGACCCTGCCGTACTAGCCTTGGAACATTGCTAGTAAACCTGGAATGCTGCCCAATAGCTTGATTAGTATTTCTGATTCGCTGTTGGCTTCTTTTAGTTGTTTGGCCAATTCTGTGATCGCTGCTTTGACCTTGACAAGGTCAGTTTTTGTCAGGATGTCGGTTGTTGTGTTGGTCTCTTTTGTTCGAGGTTTCGCTGCGCTAGCGTATGAGACTCCTTGTCTTACCCCTGTTGTTGGGGTTCCTGTCTTGTACGTTGTCTGTCGTGTGGTGGCTTGTGGTTTTTGTTTAGGGAATGCTGAGCATCCCCTGTAGCTTGCTGGATGTGGTCCGCCACAATTTGCACATATTGCTTGATCTTCTCTTGCTTTCTTGCATTCCCTGGAATCGTGTTGTTGTCCGCATTTGACACATCGCGGTAGCATTCTGCAGTGTCTCTGCACTTGCCCTATTCTTTGGCATCGGTGACATTGTTTTGCTCTTCGGCGTCGGTCCTTCTACTCCTCTACTTTGATGTTTAGATCGCAGCATGTTTGTAGGTTCCTTAGTTGATCTTCTTTCATTTTGTCCCTGTATGATAATTGGACTAACATGATAGTCTGTGTTTTATTCCTGGTTTTGATCTGTGTGCAATAGCTGGTTATTCCTTGGGCTTTTAGGTCGTTCTCTACTTGTAGACTGTCAATCTGTGTTGGTAGTCCTTTAATCACAAATCTTGCACTAGGTTGGTCTGTCATGAAATCTTGATAGGTGTAGTATTCTGCTTTTACCTTATCGAGAATTTCGAGTATTTTGTATCTATCTTCTGGTCTGGCTGGATAAATCTTGATCCCATTTCTTGTATCATGAGCTTGGTTTATGTTTACCTTGAATCGATGAAGCGTTTTTCTTAAATCGATCCAGTCTTGCTTTTTGTGAAAGATGATTGGCGCTGGTGTTGGTTTTGCCTTCTCAGTTTTTCCTAGCGGTTCGTATCGGTTTTGCACTGTCGTCGTTGGTAGCGTTTCGTCGGCGTTGGTTGTCACTTTGCAGGTCCTCCGTGGCTTGACGAAGCCGTCGTTCTCATCTTCCATGTTGTTTTCGATTTCGTAATAGTCTTAATAAAGACTTTTTGTTGCCGCCCGGCTTCCTCCTGGGTGGTATGCGTTTCTCTCTCTCCACGATACGAACACTTTGAAGATCGGTCGACGACTGACGAAACCGAAAAAGTGCCCGGATACGTATTTATTCGGGCGGCCGTTCGTCGAGCGCGTCCGACGCTACGGGTCCGACGACCAATCGCGGAGCGCGCTCGCTCCGTCCCCGCGCAAGGGGGACGGGCTTCCGATCGACACGGCCGCCGCTTAAATGGGCAACGTCGCACGTTGCAGCCGTCATAACGAATTTTCTAAAGATTGCCAGAGCCATCCATCCAACGTCAAAGCTCGAGCGACGCAGAAAAGGAAGGACCTGATTGACGGGGCCAATGTCCAAGCAGGAAAATCTTTTGCCAGTGTGGCAGGAAGTAACAAAAACCATCACAGAGAAGACCACGAAGACCTACGAATAAAAGAAGTCGTCGAAAAACTCATGCTGAAGCTCCTCCCTACAATTTTGAAGGAACTTAATGGATAAGATCACCCATAAAGATACCAACCATGAGATAGTCCTATGCACTTGGAACGCAAACGGAGTCAAAAGTCATAAAGAAGAGCTAAGAACTTTTCTCTACGAAAAAGACATAACGGCGATGATGGTAACAGAGACTCACCTGAAGCATGGGGATAACTTCTATATTCCGGGGTTCTCGCTATTCAGGAAGGATAGAACAGGTCGACCGGGTGGTGGAGTGGCCATTTTACTGAAAAGCCAATTCTGTGCTAGGCAAGCAGGCCTCAATACATCAGCGGAAGCGGTGGGGATAGATCTACTTTTAGACAACCAGAAAACACGGCTAATATCTATGTACAACCCCCCAGGAACGAAATTGCAGGAGCAGGACATCAAAGGCATATTATCAGAAACCAATACGTTCATTGGAGGAGACCTAAATGCCAAACATCCGGCCTGGGGCAGCAGACGATGCAACGGTAACGGTAAAATTCTCCTTCAAACGATAAATAATATCGAGGGTGCTAAGATTTGGGGTCCTGAGGAACACACCTCCATCCCAAATAGTGGCAAAAGAGGTGATGTCATCGACATATTCTTATCATTGAAATCCAAACCAGTCCGTTCGATCCGAACAGTTCATGAGCTAGCGTCGGACCATTTCCCGGTCATAATTACTCTCTCGGCACATCGTAACCCAAAAACGACGAAAATAAGGTATAAAATTAATTGGATGAAATACATATACCGAAATCCAACCATAGGCGGTAACCCGCAACTCCACACGCCTGAACAAATAGAGCAGGAAGCCCAGGACATCGGAAGTGGCATAAATAGAGTGTTAGCAGAGTGCAAGGAAGTAATTAAAACGAACAACCTAAACAAATTGGGACTTAACTTAAACGAAAAAGCACTAATCAAGGAAAAGAATACAATAAAAAAGAGATGGCAGAAATTCAGGAGAGAGGAAGACAGAATCCTACTACGCAAGAAGCAAAGAGAGGTAGTAGAGATGCTCCAAAATAGAAAACAACAGACCTGGACAAAGAAGATCCTCAGTTCTAACGAAGACGAAGGGCGGTTATGGAAATTAATGAAAACAATAGGCCGAAGTAACTGTCCGAACGCTCCCCTAAAAGTAGACAACACCTACTATTTTACAAACCAAGAAAAAGCAGAGATAACGGCCGAATATTTTACAAAATGTTTCGTGAATAACGACAGAACGAACGCTGCCATCTCCAAAAGGGTTAAATGTAGCACCGATTGCATTGATCAAGCAAGTGTGGACCCCTTCCCCGAGATTACCATCGACACACTGAAGGAAAAAGTTCAAACTCTTAATCCCAGAAAAAGTCCAGGAATAGACAGAATACCCAACATGGCCATAAAACTTCTGGAGGAAGCTCCCTTAGCCAGGATTTGCAACCTCTATAATGCATGCCTTACGAGGTCATATTTCCCAAGAGTGTGGAAGGAGGCTGTAATAGTTCCAATTCCTAAGGGAGATAAAGATCCAACACACGTCCAGAACAAAAGGCCAATAAGTTTACTGAACGGTCTTGCAAAAATTTTTGAAAGTATAATTAAGGATCATATCGTAACATTCAATGACAACAATGACATTATCAAATCTACCCAATTCGGATTCCAAAAAAAGCTGGCGGCTATCCAGCAAGCAGCTTTGCTAGTTAGCACGGTTAGAAAAAACTCGGGACCACGAAAAACAGTTATGGCTGCCTTACTAGACATAGAAAAAGCCTACGATAGAGTCTGGAGAGATGGACTCATTCACAAATTAATGACCTACAAGTTCCCGATGTGGCTAGCAAAGATAATAAAATCCTGGATCTCGGAAAGGTATTTCAGAGTCAGAATTGGAGATGAAATCTCGGAACCCAAAGAAGCAAAAGAAGGGCTACCCCAAGGATCGCCACTGTCCCCGGTTCTGTTTAACTTATTTGTCAACGACATGCCACAATTTGAAAGAGACAAATTCTCGCAGATCTTCCAATTCGCGGATGATACGGCAATAATAGCAGTCGGCATGAACTTTGAAGCGGCCAAAAACAAGATGGAAAGGAATCTACAGTTAGTGCTAGACTATGCGAAGAATTGGAAAATACGAATCAATGAAAGTAAAACTGACATCATATGCTTTCACAACAAGAGGCCTATCAGGAACCACCTGAAATTCAACTCCAAGCAGATAAAAATAAAAAATCAAGTGACTTATCTAGGCCTCACTATTGATAGAAGGCTCCAATTCTTCCAGCATATACGCCGCAGAGCCGCACTGGCCAAACACCGATGCCAAATGCTGTACGCATTTACGAAGCACGACACCAAGCTGAGTACTAGGAACAGAAGTAGAATACTGCAGACAATCTACTTCTCGACAGCATTCTACGGTCAGGAAGTTTGGATTGACGGTAGCGACAGAACCAAGACAAAAGCCCATGCACTCTTCCACAAGTTAACCAGGAAGGCTCTAGACGCACCGTGGTACTGCCGAAACCAGGACCTAGTAAAAGATCTGAAACTCGAAAACCCTCTTACCACCGCATCCAGAAGAAAAGCAGAGATGAAAGAAAGGCTGCAACACCACCACCAGCGCTGCTTCCAGGAGAAAGCAGCACTTCTTTAATAATTAAAAAAAAAAAAAAAAAAAATTAAATGAAGTTCCAATTATAAGTATAATTCTCCATGACAATTTCCTAAACACTAGGAATCATGAGGATCACAATTGCATAGCTTTTTAAGCTCAAAATTGTTACTGTTGAGACGAAAAAAAAAAAAAAAAAAAAAAAAAAAAAAAAAAAAAAAAAAAAAAAAAAAAAAAAAAAAAAATNTTTTTTTTTTTTTTTTTTTTTTTTTTTTTTTTTTTTTTTTTTTTTTTTTTTTTTTTTTTTTTTTTTTTTTTTTTTTTTTTTTTTTTTTTTTTTTTTTTTTTTTTTTTTTTTTTTTTTTTTTTTTTTTTTTTTTTTTTTTTTTTTTTTTTTTTTTTTTTTTTTTTTTTTTTTTTTTTTTTTTTTTTTTTTTTTTTTTTTTTTTT